AAGCCAGATAGTTATACCTACAATGACAAAAAAGAAAGTTAGCTGGTTAATTTTCACTTTAAGGATAAAAGAATTAATTGTAGAAGGACGAGTTCAGCAGCAACCTTGTCCTTTGATCCAGGCTACAGTGACTGCTATAAGGTTCCATAGAAGACAGGCTGCCAAACCTGCAACTCAACATACTCAAATTAAATGAATAAGTGCATTAACTAGAGAGACAAATTAAAAGAAAATCGTCTGATTTAACAATTAAAAATCATATACCATGTCCTAAAACATTTCTAATAAATTATGTAGCAATGTTCCCCCATTCTCTAGTATCTCCAATTGGAGTGGCAGTTTTAAGATACAGATTCTTTTAGAAAAATTACTTGCATTTTTGGGATATTTTAGAGCCACAATCAAGCGTCATTTTGGTAATATGCACTAACAAATTTGTTGCCTGAAATTGGTTTTGAGATTTAGAAATCTAAAATGGAAATGCACTAAAACCGTATACAATGTTTTGTTTAAAATAAACCCAACCTACTAGAATAAGTAGGAAGAGTTATTAGCATGCATCTCAACCTCCAATAGCTATGTAAAGTAAAACGTTGAAGAATATTTGCAGAAATATCAGATAGGGATTAGATTAAACATACCCAACAATGTAGTGAACGCAACATACTGCAAATTTTGTAGATGGATTGGAATTTCATTTGCGATATCATGATGAATGATGGGGAAGAAAGGTGGCCAATTCTTTTCCTCTATGACAATCCCAGCTGTAGGGTAAAACAGAAACAAAATCAGCTCACACGTAAAGAAAGCAGCAAACAGATGCTTAATTTAGTTCATATTTACAAAAAAAAAAGAAGGTATATGATACAGTCAAGAACTACCTCTTGCTATAGCATCTTCCCTCCTTTTCAGTTCCTAAATGAGACCAAAAAAACTGACAATTAATATAGTGTATAAAATGCCGAAAGACAAATATAGTCAACAGTCAACACCATTCATTTTTAAAAAAAACTAATACAAGGAATCTTATAAACTATAACAAAACATTTCTCTATATAATGACAAAAAAAAAAGTCAACTTGTTTCATATGTAGCCTAAGCAAAAGCATGATATAAGTAACCACAATAGAGTGTAAACAAGCCTACCTGTTCTTTTTTCCTCAGTTCAGCTTCTTTAGCTTGAAGTTCTTTCTCTTTATTCTTCAGATCCTGAGATGTTATAAAAAGTACTTAGTGCTCGAGAAAACACCAGTACTGTGGTCAAGCAAAAAAAATTGTATAAATGTTAAAGTTAACTATTCTCTTTCACCTTTGAATTATCAAGAGGGATGTCAACAGTTGCACCACGATCATAGTCAGCAGGTTCATGAGGAAGAGGTGAAAGCCTTGAGTTTGTAGCAGGGGCAACACTTACAGGATTCTGGAGATTTAGCGAGTAAAATAATGCATAAGCAAGATAATACATGATTGGTACGGAAGATCAGAAGAGGACGTGCACATCCACATTCTCACTAGTTCAAGAATCAAAGATCAAGCATCGCATTAATATGACGAAAGAAATGGAAATAAAGACTCAAGTCCAACTTTAACATGATTAATGGAATTTTGTTCCATTTTTATCAGAGTTCAAATTATACTAAATCAGTAAGCAGAAACTCATTGCAGTCCTAAAATTAGGCTATGGGCAGAGGACAATGTGGAGGACAAAAAAACAGCCTTCTTCTTGAGGTAGTGTGGGTAGATATTCACTATTTGGAACCACTTAACTGATTGTGGCATTCACTATTACTATAAAATCAATTTAAATATTTGAAAACAGTTCCTATTGGACGATGAGGACATTCTTGGCTCTGATATTCTAGGTCCACTGTTTCTTTCTAGGTGATGGGGGTCCGTTCACCAAACAAAACCCTTAGCCTCTGCCTTTTTGATAATGATCTTAATGTCTTTTCATGATTTTCAAGATCTTTATTCATTTACAGTTCTCAGATTTGCAGGTACTACTTTTTTCTCACTTTTTTTGACGTTCTTTCCTTTCTGGGGTGTACAAAAATGTTCTGTACCACTTCATTTCTATACATCTTTCACAACTTTTAAAAATTCAAAATCACTAAACTATGTCTAAGTTCTAACTAACTTTTCGACCATTATCCTAATATCTTCAATTATCACTAAATATAATATATAAATGAAATTAACATGTTAAACTCACTGCCTCATCAAACGGCTCCATATAAAGTGGGACAGAGAGAGTATTGGTTTTGAGCAGCTCGTAGTTTCAAAATGAGAAAATAAAAATTATGAAGCAAGGAATAAGCTTACCATCATATAAAATGGACCGCCACCATAATTTGATTGACTCTTTCCTCGAGCTCCTTCGTCCTTAAGAAAAAGGGGGAGATTATCTTATGAAGACAATTATCTAGAATGCACAAAACTAATCATGTAGGTCACATTAATAAGCATATGCCAAAATTTTAGAGAACCATTACACCAAATATGTTCTTTCTGAGACTGCAACACATTAACGACTTTAGTATTCAAATAATCAAAATATAAACTCAACAGAATAAGAATTGTGATTCTTTCCCTGGCCTTTAACAAAGCAGCTCAATAACATATAAATTCTCTTTATATCGCAAGCAAAATCATTCCATACACTAAAATGTAACAAAATAATCCAATTATCACCAATATTTTAGTTAGCCAATGCACTCCGACTCGTGCAATTCTTAGTCAAAATCAAGTTACAGCTCAATTCTACATTATGTATTATACAATATGAATTGAGAGCAAGCCAGTTCATTGAAATTAAATTAGCTCCTAATCCTAAAGAACAAAACCCCCACAGAATCTTTCAGTATATTCTCCAGTTGATTAATGCTAAACAAGAAGAATTTGTAAAGGGAAACCAAAAACATTCACAGATCCGGAAATTGGACCAAACAAATAAACAGAAATCAACCCCAATATCCTCTTCAACAAGTACATCGTTTCTAAGTCAGGGAGCGGATGTAGAGTCTGACTTAGCTTTGGCTCGAGTACTGTATATATGTCTAACAATTCACTAAAAAATTAAAAATAATAAATTTTGAACCTAATAAATCGAATGGGCTATGGTAAAATCGCAAACTCATAATATTCAAATCCTGGATCAGTCTCTGTTTCTAACACGAAAAACAAAAGATACACCAACAAAAAGAATCTGAAAACCCCACCAAACAAAATCCCGAACCCGAACCCCAACCCATAATGTGGCAAAACCCCGAACTAGAACCCATAATATGGCAAATCCCGAACCCGAATCCAAATCTTTGATACGTTTCTGTTTCTAACACAAAAAACAAAAACCCACCAACAAATAAAATCTGAAAAACCCCCANGGGAATACATAAACAAAAAGGAAGCAAAAAAGAGTTTATATATGAAATTACCGAAAAAGGGCTCATTTCTTCTTCTTCATCAAATGGATTGTCATTGTAATAACGTCCAGCCATCACCAAAAAAAAGTGCAAATGTGGAGAGATCTAGAAATGGGGTTTTGAAGGTAAAATCTTGAAGATGTAGGGGTTTAGATTTTGGGGGAGGATAGATCCAATTATGTATTTATCACAATGAATTGATGTGCTGTAACAGATTTATTTGTTTGTTCCTTTATGTGAAAGCAAGTTGTAATTTTACTTTCCCTTTGGGGAAATTCATGTGATAGAAAAGAAAAGGCATGTGAGAAGTTATTCCCGATGGGATAGAAGAGAGAGAAATCTTGGGAGTGTTTATGTAGGTTTTGGAGGATTAGTTGATAATTGGTGCTACAAAATTAGAATACTTTTGGGGGTGAAGATGGGTTCTTGAGTCATTCTCAGTAATTCTTCTTTCAACAACAATGACATAGTTTCAAAATTGGTTTGCACACAATTGGATTATTCCACCGGATAAGTGCATTCTTTCATCTAACTCCCCATCGAGAACTTAGATATATTACAAGTCTATTGAATTGTATGTTAAGTAATTACATGATTTACCCGTATACATGGTTTAGTGATGGTATATTATCAATTGAATGGACGAAATTGCCCCTATGGGGAGAATACATCTATAAATAGCAGGATATGAGGCAAAGGAAAGCATGCGTATTATGTCCGTTATTCTCACTTCCTCTTCTAAATCTGTCTAATTCCTTATTTCCGTTCATATTTCTTTCTTCAGTTGTTTTGCAATTTCCTTTTATTGCTTATATTCTAAGTTATAATTATTGAGATCAATATAGTACAAAAACACCTTAGTGTTTGTGATGAGAAATAATTGGTCATAATAAATACTTAGAATTTGGGATGGACTGTTTAGTGAATTTTACTGCCTTCCCCAAAGACAATAACGCGTTAGACTCTTTAGGCGCGATTTAATTAATCTTACCTTCTTAAACTCGGGTGCGCATTTCATGCGACCCAAATCCAAATCCCAAAACATTGAAATAAAAATGTGTTCCGGATTACGAGTGCATTTCATGTGACGCAATCCAAAGACATGTTTTTAAACAATGTTCACATTCTTTTTTAAAAAAAATATAATAATAAAAGTGGTAAAGAGTTAAAACTTGCACAAGAGCGCATAATTGTATAAAATCAGATAAACAAGCCGAATATGACAGTTGAGCGACCGTGCTAGAACCACGGAATTCGGGAATGCCTAACACCTTCTCCCGGGTTAACAGAATTCCTTATCCGGATTTCTGGTTCGCAGACTGTAATATGGAGTCATTCTTTCCTCGATTCGGGATTAAATTGGTGACTTGGGACACCCTAAATCTCCCAAGTGGCGACTCTGAAATAAATAAACAAATCCCGTTTCGATTGTCCTTTAATTGGAAAAAACTCCTTGTACCCTCGCGGCGACGGAAAAAGGAGATGTGACAATGGTTTCTAAATTGATCATTTACGAACAATTTATATGGCTCGATAGGATAGGTATGTTTCTTCTCAAGACTTTTCCCTCACAAGAAGTGATAAAAATGTTCGGCCAAATCAATAAGTAATACTTCTGAAATACAAGTTCAGGGAATTGGATTAAAATGAGACGTAAAAAAAAATGATCGGATTAAAAAACTAAGAAAATGATGTGGAGTAATTATTTAGTGAAAACATTTCTTAAATGACCCTAAACGTAAAGATTAGATGATTGACCAGCAATGTCAATGACAAAACGGTACTTAACATCATTTTTTGCAAGTCTATCAAGTCCTTCATCGATTTGATGAGTGGTGATAATCTCTATGTCACTCAAGATGTTATACTTTCCACATAAATCCATCATTTCTTGTGTCTCTTCTATGCTTCCTATCATGCTTCCTTTCACATTTCTCTTCCCTGCAAAATCAATTAACCTCCTTTAATTTACTTGTCAATAAATTACTCCTATATTTTTACACCATTAGAAGAATAAGCCTTTTTAAATACGAAATCTTAAAAATAAAACAACTTATATTTACAACAAGTAAATATAAAAAAACTGAATATCTTGAAAAGCGATTATTAGAAAAATGCAAGAAAATTTTATTTAATTTTTCGAGCGAAAGAATTTGAAATTGTGCTTAAATGACTTTTCTTTTGAAAAATTTACTGCAACCAACATGAAGAAATTTCAATATTATTGTTGGAAAAACTACACACATATAGTTGCATTGCATGTTTATTGAAAAATTGAGTGGAGATTGTGATGATATAAAATTTTACCAAAAATCATAGGAAAAGCAGGCAAATCAATTGGCTTTTCTGGTGCTCCAACAATTACTAGAGTTCCATTTACTTTTAGAAGCTCTAAGTAAATCCCAAGTGAGTGATTGGCTGCCACTGTATCCAAAATAAAGTCTAGAGTCCTTTTCCTTTCCTGCATTTAAGCAGAATGAATGCAAAATATAATTTTAGAAGTTGTAAATTTTTATTATCTAACAGAATTAAGTAGAGACAATGAAGATTATTCACTGAAAATATTTTTGTGCGCTATCAATCAAACAAATGAAGTGTTAGAAACCTTCACAACCCATTCAATCTTTTATTGATTCCTTCATTAAATATTTATATGTTAAATACAGAAAAACATATTTTTTGTTGAATAATAAAATAGAAAATAATTAACTATTTCAATGAGCATTAAGTATGACAAAAATTAATATTCTAGGAAATGATTTTATTTTTTCGAAATATCTTTTGAAAAAAAGTACTTTTGTATTTGGTTAGAGGGTGAAAAATATTCTTCAAAAAAAAAAATTTAATGAAGAGTGATAATAATGTCAAAAATCAAATAGAGTTTTGATGAAATTTTTCAAGATAGATTGAGGTATTATGTCAATATTAGTTGGAGAGTGATATGAAGTTAAAGTCGAGATAATTATGAAGTGACTTTAGTGTAAAAGTGGGAGAAATGATTTTCCTCCATTAATATTTTCTTACAATTGAATACCAGAAAATAACTTACTATTTTCTTATACCAAAAAAACGAATATCAAGAGTTTGTGGTGAGTTAGATAGGATCCCTCCACCTTTAACCAAAGATCTCAAGTTTGAACCCCAAGTGTATAAAAAATCCTAAATAAAGAGCGTTTCCCCCTTTCATAGGCCTTACGCGGCACAAATCCGAATTAATCAATACCCCAATACGAGTACCGACATCGGGGGAGTTGGGTTTTACTTTTAGCCCGTGCCAGAAACTATTTATATTCAGTGAACGAAAAGTATATAAATTTTTTATATGTAACATACAGAATGTGTGTGTATATATATAAAATATTTTTCGACTATTATTTTGAGAGCGACTATACGATGTCATTTTCCCGAACAAAAAATACCAAAAACTTGCAGTAGGAAGGAGAGCACAAACCTGGATTTGTTTAGGATTAGTGCTTAGTATAAAATCATCAGCACCTAAGTTGTGTTTAGCTTCTTGTTCTTTGGATGGAGATGTACTAATGACAGTAACATGATGTCCAAATGCTTTCCCAAATTTCACAGCAACATGTCCAAGTCCACCTAGACCAATAACCCCTATTCTTTTACCTTGTGTTTTCACCAAGTTATTGTCTTTCAATGGACTATAAACTGTTATTCCTGCACATAGTAATGGTGCTGCTCTATCCATTGCCAAATTATCTGGTATACGTACCACGTACCTTCATTTGTATTTAATTAGAACTTTTATAGTATCAAGTAATCGAGAGGAATATGTCTTAATACAGCTCTCTAAAATATGAGATTTGCAATATTGAAGAGTTACCTACTACAACAAGATGACATGATGGTGTCAAATTTTCTTACGCATAACACTGTATGTAAATTATATTCATTTTATAATACCCCAAATTTGACTATTTCAACAAAATCTTAAATCTATATATATATTAAAGCTACAAAGTTTGCCTTCTCATTTAGCCAAGTGGCAACCTATTAAAAATACACATGGCAACTTAATTTATTAAAACCTCAAGTTGTAATAGCCTGATTTTTCGGCCATTACACAATCAATCATCCCAAATTTATTGCTTCTGTTTTGTAAAGTTTTTATTATTTATCTATATCTATATATATATTAAAGCAAGAAAGTTATCATATATAATTGACATTATGGTTAAACGAAGTGGCAAGCTAATAAATGTCAATAATATATGGTAACTTTATTTTATATTTGACTATTTTAGTTAAACACAAATATAATATATATATATATATATATATATATATATATATATATATATATATATATATATACGGAATTTGAATTAAAAGATAATTTTGAATTTATAGATAAAGTTCTAAAATTCTAATTTAAATTAAAAATAAAATTTATAATTTTTTTATCATGTTATTATACTTAATTTGGTTAATGCTCATATGCAATCGTATTATGAACTTTTATTATTTTTTCGAATTATTTAAATACTACTTCGCCTCTAGCAAAAAAAAATTACTCCATATAACTATAAAACACTTTCACGTTTAAAATCCTATAAGTATATTTGAAACACTGTAACTAGATTTGAATAAAACGAAATTCTTTTAAAATAAATGTAATATTTAGGGTACACGTGTATGTTTATCTAAATAACAAAAAAGAGTTTACAAAACCAAATAAAAGTTTACTTATATATATAATAAAGTAAACATACATGCTGGAGAAAGAAACATCACAAAATCAGTCAATATTAAAAAAAAGTTGCTTCTTTTTTCTTCTTGAAGAATATTTGTTTGAAGAGTCAATTTACATAAATGGACATCAAACAAATAACAAAACTTTGGCTATATAATTGCTATCATTAACTTTAATTTAGCACATTCAAGGAATTGAAGGATATAAGCTGAAACCCCTTCATTTAGCTCTAGTCAAGCCAATATTGTAAGGGTATAATATTTTTTTCGTTGAAGAATATTAGTTTTGAATCATTAGATTATGTGAAAGTTCTTTTTTTCAAACTCAACAAGAGAGAAATTGGTCTCTAATTGATAGTTTCTATAGCGACTTTTAAGTGTAACAAAGAATATATATAAAGAAAAAATTGGTATGACGTGAATATTTTTTTTAAATTGTAAATAAATTATTCAAAAAAGCTCTTTACTATTTTTAATTCAAGGATAATAAAAAGATAAGATAATTAGTAGAGAGTTTTAAAATTATTATAATAGAAGTTATATCATGGATAAACTAAAAAAACCGAAATCTTATGGAATATTTATATAATATCCGGCCATATGTATTGTTTACTTTTTATAGCTAATATAAATAGATGATATACCGACAATACACAATTATACACATATTATATAAAGATTATATATAAATTACACATCATTTAAATTTTTAATTTAAGTGGTCGGGTGAGCACCTATTTAGGCTAATTAGAGAAAGCCAAAAGAAAAATATGAAATAATTTCAACCAAAGACTAAAAATATAATTAAAGTTCATATGTAGATAATTTTTATTAAAACTCATCCTTTTATAGTGAAATAAATTAATTTTTTGTAACAAAAGAAATAATGACATAAAAATAAGATAAAAGAAAATAAATATTGAAAAAAATGTTAGAAAGATCTAAAAATAAGAAATAAAAGATGACAATTTATTTCTTCTTATGTTTCATCTTTATTGAGTATAAAAAATTTGAAAGTTAATCTCATCGATTTCAAATATATTTTTTTCAACTCAAATACATAGATTATAAGATAAGGATATCTTAGAATATTTTTTTAAATTTACATTATGTGTCATTTTTAACAAATTACTATTACTAATAAACTGATATGATATTCGAATTTGAATTGGAATGCAATTTGAGTAGTTTGCATTGAGGTTAACCCAAGTATGGTGTCGAAAAATAAACTACTTGACAATTTTAAGACAATATATGCAATGTTTTATAATAATAATCAACTAATTTAACATTTAATGGTTCAAAGAACAAAAATTTTGTATATATAGGGTATTAAAAATTCAAATTCCGGGGTTAGAGATATCGATAAACTTAAAATGGAGTCATACTGAAATAAATCTAGCCAAAGAATCATTTAAATTTTTAGATAGCCGATTAAAGTGAAT